CTCCTCAAGGTCAAGCAGCCTTCCTGAGGGGAGATGGATCAGTTACTGTTGAAATAATCCTGTGCCTTGATCCAGACCCTCCTGACATCTAGTGCCCGTGCACAAGAGAAAGACAGGTCCCAAATTTTGAGTTACTAAGTGACAGAAAGTCTTTACAGGAATAAAGACTTATTAATGTAGAATTCTTGATAGCCAAGAATGGTATTACTAACTCACAAGCATTAGGACATGGACTTTGAATTGTTCAGGAAGTATGCTTTTAACACCATCCCTGTGTGGCAAGTTGTAATGGCTGAGCTCAGGGATATGGGTGTGGATGTCCTGAAGAGGTCAAGCTTACTACCCCATGCAGTTATGCTTTGCAACTCTAGCCTTACTAATACCACCCTGTAAACAACTAGCCTAGCAATTCAAACAAATCAAATCATACCAGCCAGTGTTTTATGAAAATAAGACACCCGTAAGAGAAGAGATAACAAATGTTGGAGAGGATGTGGAGGAATGGGAACCCTTGCACACTGTTGGTGGCAATCTAAAGTGGTGCAGCCACTTGGAAAGCAGTATGGAGGTTCCCCAGAAAATTAAAAATAGAAATACCATATGATTCAGCAAATCCACTTCTGGGAATATATCCAAAGGAAATGCAAATGCTGTATTGAAGAACTATCTATACCCCATGTTCACAAAAACATTACTGGCTACAGCCAAGGCATGGGCACATCTATGGGCCCACTGACAGACGAATGGAAAGACGTTTTGGGATACACACACACACACACACACACACACACACACGCCACATACACACTGGAATATTACTCAGCCATAACAATAAAGAAATCCTGCCATTTGTGACAACATGGATGGACTTTGAGGACCTCATGCTATGTGAAATAAGTCAGAGAAAGACAAATACTGCATGATCTCACTTATATGTGGAATCTAAAAAATCTCGTAGAAAAAGATCAGACTTATCATCACTGGAGTTGGAGGGTGGGGGGATTGGAGGAAGGCAGCCAGAAGTATAACTTCCAGTTGTAAGATAACCAAGTCCTGGGGGGGTGACGTACATGACGACTACAGCTCACACCGCTGTATGTTTGAAAATCGCTGAGAGTAAATCCTAGGAGTTCTCATCACAAGGGAAAGAACATTTTTCTTTTTTGTATCTAAGATGATGAGTGTTAATTAAATTTTGTTGTGGTAATCATTTCACAATATATATGTGAAGTCATTATGCTGTACATCTTACACTTATATACTGCTTTATGTCAATTACATCTCAGTAAAATTGGACAAAAATAAGAAACTTTCCAGCATAGTGGACAGTATGAAAAATGATATAGTCACTGCATCACAGCAAATACCCCACAGCAAAGAGATTGAAGTACACACCCGCACACATGGCCTCTATCAGTTTTATGTGGCAACTTGGGGGCAAACTTGTTCTTACTGGCTGAGTACTGTGCAATCCCCTCATGGCACACACCGAAACAAATGCATTCTTCACTGTTATAGGGACAGAGACTGGTCCTCAAAGGCCAGCAGCCCTGGATTGGAGGCAACTCAAGCACTTACTGTCATGTGACCTTCAGCAACTTAGGGAGGCGTCCACTTCCTCACTGGTGAAATGGGGACAGGGATGCTCACCTCCAAGGGTTGTTGCAAGAATTGAATAAACTCATGTATGGAATGAAAGGCCCTAACACAGAACCTGACACACACAAGGGTCTTTAAAATGCCCCCATATATGAAAACCCTCCCTGTTCCTAGTGTCACATAACAAATTTGAAATCTGGAATCTAAGGCTCTTTGTACATCAAATGGAGCATCATCTAAACCTTCTGGAAATGCACACACATGAGATCTGTACAACCTGCGGAGGCTTCATACCCAAAGGCTGCACAGATGTTCTCCTGACTGTATGGAGTTCCCTTCAAAGCCCTTAGCTGATTTCCCCCTCAGTTTCAGAGCATGTTCAGTCTCTCCCTTTGGCTTCTTCACTTCTTTCCTTAAATATGCAGAGTACCTGAGTTTGTCTGTGTTCTTCTCTCACCTTGTCTGGCTTCTCTTCCTTCCTTCCTTCCACCACTCCTCACACCTCAGCTCTGCTCCAACTCTATCAAGGTCTCGTTGGCTCACGCCTGCCACTCCTGGATGCTCAACTGTCATCAGCTGCAGAGCTGTATGCCTGGCTCCAACATCTCAGCCAACCCCTAGTGCTTCTCCTGCCAGGAGGAAAGCATCCCTCTGCAACTGCATAGGTCAAGCTTCCAAGAACCTTCATTCCACAGGGCTCGCGTTCTAAGGCCCAAATAATGAAGATCTCACCTGAGAACAGCTGCAAATTGAGAGCATTTACTGGGCTTCTGGGGGTCAACAGAAACACCTGGGCAATTCCACATTAAACGGCCACTCCGAGCTATAGAAGGAATGTTTCTGCCTTTGGCTTCACTCACCCACGGATCCTCAAAATTTAAGAAACACTGAGTGGTTGAAAAATAATGTAAACCATTCCCCTCTTATTTCTAAAGAAACAGGTCAAGGCCGACTTAGCTGCTTCAGTTAATTTCAAGATTTTCAGTGTGAGCAGTTAAAGCAGTCCATTTTAATTTTTTTAATTTCACACTTACAATGCAGTACCTAAAATGTAAAAACACACTTGAATTGTTTACACAGCTATTATTGAATAAAAATACCCATGTCTCTCATCTTGGTTTTGCTGAATAAAACAACAGAAACATCTGCCATATTCTTAACGGCAATTTTTGTTGCCCTTCCCACTGGGTGGCAAAAATGCCCTCAACTTCCTCAAGGGAGGAACAACCTAAGACAGGCACAGTTGCAGGGGGGCCATCAGGTGAGAAATTGGGGGTCAACAGAGGTAAGGCTTAGAACCTCACCACCCCCTGTTTTGAGAGAAATCTTCTGCATCCGTGGATGTTTTGTTGCCCTTGTCTAGCTTGGATTAACACTTAGTCTATAGGCACAGACCTGATCATCTACACTTGCCCTCTTACAGCACTAACTTATGCTTTCTATCTTTATCTTGCATCTACTACCACTTCAGCATTTTATTTAAAAAAAAATAAGGGAGAAATGTGGGATTCACATATAAATCAAGTATAAAAATCAAATGAATAACCATATCTGACTTGATTGTTTATAGTTCATGATGTGTGATCAAAACCAAAAGTTTCTGTGATATGACTGCCCTTGCACTGTTCACTATGTAAGAACTTATTCACCATGTAAGAACTTGTTTGTTATGCTTCAGAAGATTGGAGACTGTTAAACGTTAGGCTTGGGGTTGATTTATGATTGTGCATTGAGTCCCCTATACAGAATTTTATTGTTGTAAACAACCATTTGATCAATAAATATGAGAGGTGCCCTCTCAAAAAAAAAAAAATGCCTTTAACTGCCTTTCGTTAACCTCCTGACCTGAAGGTGAGTCGCTCCCCGCTGACAACAGAGATGCTGTCCCACTGAGCTTTGGCCAAATACAACAAAGTCATCACTGGATTTTCCAAGCACTAAAATAACTTCAGAAAAATTAAAAAATCCACCTTTTAAATGAAAAGCATTACTTCCCTCAATGAAAAATCCATTTCTCTGAGTTGCCACAAGAATGAAGGTTACAGCAAACCACAAAATGCAGCTCATACGTAAAATGAAATATTCCTAATAATTCTGATTTTAAAGAAATGTGTTCAAACTGTGTTGAATACTTAGTGTCTCCACCACAAGGTCACAGCCTTACTTGGTTCTTGTTTCACTGACAGCTGGCCAACTGTGAGGCCTGTAAATTACCAACTAGAGATACAGGCAGTGTGAAAGCACTGCATCTCTCTGACAATTTTCCAACTCCCTGTGAGCCGGGGATTCAACGCCAGCCTATTTCTCTGTAGTACAAAGTAGGGGCTTTTCTAAGTCCTTGTTGCCGGCCTGACAGGAGTTATCCCTTCCTGCTCGCAATTCCCACCGCAGCTCAGCTGGGGTGACCCAGGCACCGCTCCCACCTGGGTGCCTGAAGTCTCCACCTAACGGCCTCCTGGAACACAGTTTCCTGGAGTCCAAGTTTCAGTTGGTCCCTTTGCTTCGCCAAAGACAGATCCCTACTGGTTTATTTTTTGCTGTAATGGCAATTGTGCTCTAAGACAAACAACTTATTCTTAGGGGAAAACAATTTCAACCATCCATGTGTTCCCCAACAGCCACTCAATTCACATCCGTTCCTGATCTCTGACTTACACAAAACACAAAGACTGGCCGGATCACAACTGGATGAGTGTGATGTGTTTAAGGGAATCTGTACTCTACTGCACTGCTTCCTCTTTGTTTTTTTAAGACTGTGAAATCTTTATAAGCAAAAAGATGATTACTTCTTCCCCTTTAAGGACCATTCTCTTCTGACAACGTCTTAGCTGAGTCCCCAAATCTCACTTGAAAAAAAAAAAAGGCTCGCTTTGAAGCAAGTTATTCCTGGGGACTTTTGTTTAGAGATCTCTAACACTGGAAGAGATCAGTTTTATGGGAGCATTTGGACAAAATCTGCGTGTTTTAGGACACGAGCTAGAGTACACCTCTTAGCTAAACCTACATTTAAACGTTTTTGGCAGTATATATTTTGCAATCTTCTCTGTGCCCCAGAACGCACAATGTGGATCTAATTAGGTCCAGCTGCCTTATGTTAGTAATAAAACGAAAAGAAAAAAGAGCTATGGGGGTGGGGGCTTTGTTCATCCCCTCCTTTGCTCGGGAGATCCCGAGCGCCAAGACGAGCGCTTCTTCTACGCTCGCTCGGGGTTACACACGCTTCTTAAACACTCCGGCGTGCCCGGACCCAGCTCAGAGCCCAAACCTCCCAGCCGCTAAGTGTTGCCCCCCCCACCCCCCACCCCCCGCTGGAAGGGCTGCTCGGACGGGCTGCAGCCCCACGCCCCGAACCCAGCCCCGCGGGCCAGCCGCCCCGCCCGCTCCTCGGCTCCACGACTCACACCAGCGCGGACGGACAGGGCATCTGATTCCAGGGACAGTTGTACTGAGCCTGAATAAAACTCTCACTTCCCTCCAGCACGGAGCAGCTCACGTTCTTGTTCACGATGTAGGCGCACCAGTTCCTGGGGAGAAGGGCACAAGTGTAAACCCGGGAACGATGAGGCTGGGGGAGCGGGGACGGCCGAGCCAGCAGCGGACAGCGAGGGCCCGGGAGCCCGTGGTCCCCGGGGAGGCGAGAGCTGCACGAGGCAGGCAGCCCGAGGGTGCGCCCCTGGGAGCGCGCGCCTTTAACGCACGAGAGGCCAAGGAAAGAAAAGCGCCCGCGGTCCCGGGGGCGCCGGTAATTCCTGCGAGTAGTTTTCGGATCGTGCTGCTCTGCGGGACGCTCCTCCGCCCCCCGCCCCGGAGGCAGCGCGGCTGGAGGCGCGCACGGGGTTACCCGGGACGGCCCGTGCCTGCCGGGGAGCGCACGGCCCCGGGGAAGAGGCGCCCCCGGGGGCACCTCGCGGGGTCCCCGGCTGCATCAGCGCCTTTGGCGGGGCAGCTTCGGGGCCGGCGGGGGGCCGGAGGCTCCGCATCCCGGGGGCGAGCAGAGGGGCTGAGCACTTACTTGCTCCTGGCGCTGGGCCGCGCAGGGTGCCCGGGCTGCGGGCCGGCATGGCCCAGCCCCGCGCCGCCCAGGGCCAGCAGGGCCAGCGCCCAGCGCCAGGACGCGCGGGGCCGGGGCCCGGGCCGCCGCCACATTCTGCGCGGCGGGCCGGGGGAGCGCGCGGGCTGCGGGCGGCCGGGCGCGGCCGGGCAGGAGGAGGCTCGGGCGCTTCGCCGCGCCCACCCCGGCACTCTGCGGCCGCCCCCTCGGCCTCTGCTCCCGCTTCCCCTTCTCCAGCCCGGGCGCCCGCGCCTCTCCTCGGTCCCTCAGTGACGCACGGGTCCTCCCGGGCGCCGCCCTCTATTTCACTTCCCTCTCGAAACGTGACTCTCCCCCCACCCCGTCTTCCTGTCTCCAGTCCCCTTGCCTCTCGGCAGGGGGCTCGGGGTGAAAGGGCTGAAGGGTTTGGGAGAAGGGTCTAGGGTACAGAATTTCCAATTACTCATTCCTTTGGTCTCTTCCCAGGAGCCGGGCGGCCCCGCCTCCCACCTTCCTGCAGGCGCTCCCCTGGCCCCGCGGGACGCGGCCGCCGTCGGCGAGTCTGGCCCCGCGCGTGGTGCCTGCGTGCCGGCTGCCCACGGCTCTGTCAGTTCCTGGGACTCGCGTTTCCTCCTCTGGCAGGTCGCGGCCATTCCCCACCTTCGAACCTGGGAGAGTTTAGGGGGAAATGACCGCGGATCCTCTTCTCTTCCTTTTCCCAACTCTGCCTTATGCAGGCAGTCAAGTTTCCAACTCCGCGTGCGGCGCAGCAGGGGGACCGTAGAGCGACAGCCCCACCACTTCCCAACCGCTTCGGAAGCCCAGCATCAGACTCTAATACGTGTCACACTAACTCTTGAAGATAATCTCTGCCCCTGCTTGATGCCTGCCCTGAACCTTCTATCAACACTAAAGGCGTTTACTCCACAGCCGTCGCCTCTGCTCTTACAGCTCAGGCACTCTTAAGACGTTTGTTTTTTCACTTGCTCGCCTACGCTCTGCCTACTCTTGCCTGACATTAATCAGTACCAATTTCATCCACGGATGAAACAGTTCCACAGAAGACTGTCAGACAAAATTCCCACCAAAGTGCTGTTCTTGGGGTGTTGGAGAAGCCTGCTGTACTGTTGACCGCTAGGTCAGCCACACTACCTGTGAGCCGACAGGATGCCCTTGGCAGTGACTCGTTGGCAGCACGATAAACCCTTACTAGGTTCCCTTCTCTGCTAAAGGAAGCCATGGGTCCATTTCATTTCTAAAATGTTTTGAGGATGTGGTTGGGCCCTTTGATTTGCAAATAGAAGAAAGAAAATTCCCTAAGTAGAAACTTCACAAGAGCCAAGCAGAAAATTATACCATGTAAGGACGTGTCCGTCCATGAACTCTCTAAATGGCAGATCATGCAAATAAATGGACTGAAGTCATTCCATCCTTCAAAAGAGCCACCCTGAGGGGAAAATCACAGAAAGGGATAACAAGCAGTCTTGCATAATCCCATCTGAATCTTTCTGTATGACTCTCCTATTTTGTCCATCCTAACACCATTTTTGTCCATGAAGTATCATAGGAAAGAGAGCACAGAAATGAAGGACAGTGACAGAAGAAAAAAATGGAGGAAACAGATTAGGCACGTCTACAACCACGAGCTAACAATCACAATTGCTTTTCAACACAGGCAGTTCTCAGACTTTAGAGTTGAGTTGAACTGATCAAGCAAAATCCTTCTTTTTTGCATTGAATCAGAGTTATACTAGGAAGCTGTATTCCAGTCCAAGAGTTTGAGGACCAAGTTTTCATTGAGATAACTACAATACTATATTTAGTCAGCTATAAAAGACATTTATCAGTAGATAAATTTTATTCTGAGCATCTGTTAACACGTTAGGCACTGTGCAGAAATACTGAGGATTTTCACAAGGGAGCCCAGACTGGCATGAGCTCTGATTATAGGGCTCCCAGCCATTCCTGTGCAAGTTTCTGATGTACAACTGATGAAGTGGAGACAGTATTTCTCACATGTGTTTTTCTAGCCACATGCCTATGTATGGCACTGCTCTGGGAAGATGGGTGAAGACTGTCAGGAAGACTTGAGGCCCAGATTCCAAGAGACCCTCTTCCCTTTCTCTTCCCCTGCCAGAGGAAGGACACATCAAACTCAGAATGCAGGAGTCCTCCTGAAGGCAGAGGGAAGCTTCCTGTAGATAGAGAGCTTAAGCACACTAGGAAACAAACTAATTGGGCAGGTCGTCTGGTCCTAGCTACAAGGAATAACATGGACATAACTGGCACAGTGCTGCCAGGGTGAATTCTTGAAATCGGCCAACTACTTGAAACAAGCACTTGAAAACTGTCAGTTTCCTATAACAGTCTCAAGGACTTTTTCTGCTTTTAAAACAGAAGTGCCTCACAGAATCTGATACTCTTGATTGTGTGATCAATACCCCTATAGCAAAAATGCAAAGTAAAACTACATCATAAAGTCTACTCCATCCCTCACGGGTGGTGGTGGTAAAAGCTGCTCTTCAGGCTCTGTACGTGGGGGCGCTTCTCAGGAAGCCATGGGCCTGCCGGGCCCACAGCACACCCAGGCTCCCCTCCAGCTGTCTGGTGGAGGAGGGTGGGTGACGATTACAGAGGCAGCTGGTGGGTACATTTTCCCCATCCCCACGCTCAGTCACAAGACTTCAGGCCCAGGACACTTGATCAAGATGAACCGATTTGCATCTAGGATTCATGTGGTCAAGAGTCATAAGACAGGCTGGGTGTTCTGCCCCTCTTATTCCTCATCTTTGCTTTCTACAATTCAAAAAAATTTCACTCTCATTTCTAGGTGTACTTTGAGGTGTCTTTGCTGCTGCTTTGTAAGTCCTTGAAGACTGGGTATCTTGAATAAATTTTGATTGCAAAGCACTGCTAACAATGTACCCTAAGAAAATGTCTTACACGTCTATAAGTTAGTGATATGATACCCTTCGTTCTTTAAAAAAAAAAAATGGTTTGTTCAGGAAAGAGAGACATAAATATCACTGAGAAAAATTACCTGGCTGCATCATCTACCTCAGGCTCTGTTTTGGAATGCTAAGATTTGGTGGACAGTTTTGTTTAGCTCCATATGACACAGGCATTGCATTGGATAAGGGGCCTTCAGAATGAATCCAGTGAGTCCCCAGATGTCACATTTACAAGCAACAGCAACTCTCCTGTCTTGTTGAAGGCTTTGCTCAAATAGACTGAAACACAACAATCACTCTCTTCAATTTTTCTTCACTTACTGATTTGCAAATATCCCATTTGCTACACGTAGTTAAAGATTCAAAATCTCAGTATTTTTTGAACCCAAGTCTGATGTTATTTATCAACAGTTTGACTCAATGACTGTGTTAAGGATTATGGCCATTATTTGAATCATCTTTCTTGAGGGATGCCAAGAGCAGACTTCCCTGTGTTGGCTGGGGTGTGTACCTTCATACATTTTAAACTATTACCTGAGAACCTCAGAACTGAGAAAGGTTAAAATCATGCCTGAAATCACATATGAAAAAAATAGTGTTTAAGAGCTCATGCAATGGAGTTAGCGTACCGTTCAAAATTAGGTATTAGGTACCCTCACCTCCTTAGCTGAATGATCTTGGACAAGTCAATAGGCCTCTGCATCCTCCATTTCTCCTCTGGCTATTATATGGCTATTGGGAAGATCAGTTTTGAGTTACCGCATGTAAATTGCTTAGCACAGTGCCTGGCACATAAGTGCAGCATAAATATTCACAACTGTCATTGTTACTCACCACTTCAGCATTGCAACACATTTGCAATCAGGTTCAAGAATTGTGTCATTCTTTTGTTGCACCTGCTGCCATGGGAAGTGGACCATCTACTGTTCTTTCCAAATAAGAAATACAGAGGAGAAGTTATTGAGGTGCATGCATGACTCAGTCAGAAGGACTGTAAATGTGCGAGTCAGAAGAGATTACCCGGCTCTTGACTTCTAGCCCACTTGTCTTTCTAGTCCTCCCCAAGAGAAAACATACAATTCAGCTTATCGCTTAGGAGATCTCATCCTCTACCTTGCAAAGACATTTATTTTAGGACAATTGAATGAGATCTTTGGGAGGCTCACTAAGTTGACAAAAATAAACTCGGATCATTGGGCAATTTCAGTCATATCTTCTCTCTCTAAAAGATAAAATTAGTTACTAATTCCATATCCCTTAATATTTTTCAGATGTTTCTTAGTTCTAAGAATGCTTCCTACAGTCAACAGTAGGCCAAATACTACATTTGTGATTACATTGCTGTCATACTTACGGTGTGGTTTTGAACACATTTTTTCTTCACAAGAAATAACTGACAAAAATAGGCTCTCAGAATTCTGTTTGTTTCCAAGAAAGCTGTAATAGCTTTGGCAATAATGTCTTCATATAGGAGCTGCAACAAACTATTCTGTAGTTCATTATTTATGGAATGAGAGTTGATTGTTCCAGAATCAACAAGATGTTTAAAATCGGCAGAATGTGTTTGATGAGTATAATTATTAAATTTTAGCACAATCTTAGTCCATACACATTACAATAGTATTCATGAGCAAATTAACTCTTTCTGGTATTTCACTTTGTGCAGTTCTAAACAATGTTTTAAGTATTTAAGTACAGTCAATTCTCATTATTTGTTGTTGCATGTTCTATAAAGTTGCTGTGAACCCACAATCAGCTTAGGTTCCTATAAGCCTCTGGTCACGATGCCTCCATCAACCAATCAATGCATATCCTCGTTTGATGTGCTCCTATGTAAGGATACCCTGTTTGATATTATTGTTGATTCATTACCATTAAACACGTAGCCAACACCACTGTAACTCATGTGTTAGAACAAAGTATCCAACACACGTATCTTCTCCACAAGGCACACCACAGCCTTCTGGTGCGTAGGAACCCCAGCTGGCTCTTCAACACTATACTTGGGGCCATTTTAAAAACAAAGTCAGCAAAAAAACACAAAAACGCAAAAAACAAAAAATGTGGCTCTAACTTTGCCATGAAAAGGGTGCATTTTTACAGCCTGAGAGCTGACACAGAAGGTGGAACACCGCCTGGCTGGGCCTCAGCCGGGAAAGTGCACATTGGGCAAATCAAGCGTTTTGCCACTCTGTGTCAGTCCACACATGACCGAGAAAGTGTTACAAGTATTGCTTTTGGAGTTAGAATACATTTAGTGAAAAGGCGAGGTCACAAACATAGAACCTATGAATGAGGATCAACTGCTTTCCAGCGTTCATATGAGAACAGTCA